TTTTAATTTTCGGTGATGAACAAACTTCATGACTACAATCTGCTCTCTTTTGTTTTTTCATATTATTTTTATTTGTTGATTATCAAATAATTAAACTATAATAATTCAAAATTCATGTGTCAACAATTTTTTTTTTTTTTTTTAAAAAAAATTGATATTAGCTTTGTAATGATTGGTATATCAATAATGATTTAATGATTTATGATTTTCAATTTATAAATTGAAAAGTTTATCAAACTATAGGCCATAGGGCTGCTGGTAATTGATTAATTGCTTACTTGAAAAAAAAATATATATATTATTTGAAATGCAATTAATTCTTGTGTTGATTCTATATATATATATGATGTGGCAATGATGAGAAACCAAAGTCTATAATATATGGATTGAGGTGCCTACTCAAAAATAAATTGAATTTGAGAGGTAGCTATGATTTGTTTTTCAAGCACTTTTGAGCCACTTTATTTTACTTTATTCATATTATTATTGACAACTACTTTTTTTTTTTTGTGTAGTTGTGTTTTTTGTGTTCTTTTTCTTTTACATTCTAGATATTTTACGGTGTTATCCTGTTAGGGTCAATTATAAGCGATCTTTTGATCTGTCCTTCCAATTTATTTAGGCTATGTTTGATAAAACTAGCTCATAATCTAGCTGATAGCTGATAAGCTAGCTTATAATTTATTAATAATTTTGGAGTTTGTAGCTTATGACTTATAGCTTAAAAGCTAGCTTATATGATAAAAGTGTTTGGTAAAATTAGCTGATAAGCTAGCTGAAATAAAAAAAATTCAACTAGCTTATTTGAAAAGCTATCTAAACAAACTTATCAAATAAGTTTGAGCTTTTTAAATAAGCTCGTCCTACCAAACAGAGCTTATTTAAATACAGAGAGCTTATAAACTAATCAAATAAGCTATACGCTAGCTTATTGGTTTATCAAACATAACCTTAGTTGTTTCTCAATTTATTCAATTGTTGGCGATTTGTATTCAAATAGTAGATGTGCTTTTATATAATATCTCTATAGTTTCGAAAGAATAAAAAAAAGTTAATAATACTTTTCCTCAGTTATTATGACGGTAACATTTGCTTATAAGTAAAATCAAATTTTGCAAAAGGCTTTTACGGAATGACGGCTCACCCAAAATATGATTCTTGGGTTGTGTACCCAACTTGTGAATATATACTAGGCTATCATAATATATATGGGCCATCTGAACTTTTGGCCCAACAAGCATCGGAAAATGGGTTATGGGTCGGGTTCCAAAAGAAACGGTATAACAAGGCCTAAAACTTTATTGCCAAGAATAAAGTCATCATTGAGAATGGAGATTACGTACCATACATAGACATGGCCAAATCCAGGTTGGAGATGTGCTCGAAAACAATGACCCGGACCCAGCACGGATCTATACTCGTGCCGGGTCAATGACTTGGTTGATCGGGTCGCGTCCGTCATTCTTTTAAAAATAACAATGGGAAAAAAAAAACAGGACATTGACCCGGGCCGGGTCATGAAATAGATGACCATGACACGACCCGTCAGAAATTCGGTTCGATCCTGGACCGTGGTCAATGGGTTTGACCGGGCCGGTTCCGTGTTGGGTCCGAGCTCGGCCCGGGCGTGCCTTGGCCATGTCTAACCATACATGACCGATGAATATATCTATCATGTGCTCAGAGTGGGTAAGTAAACATTTTGCTATACAATGTGGGCAAATAATATCCCTATTCTCCATATAACCATTCAAATTTCGGACCCCAAACATATATGGTGTTAGTCTCTAAAGTCTAAACTAATATTTTTAAATTCACACGCATTAGATATGATCAAATTCCGGACTTGGACTGGGCTTGGGCCAGGATCGGCCCGGCGTGTAGCGGGGTTCAAAATGTCCACCTGTGAACCGGACCAAACCTACTCACGTGATGGGTACACGACCCCTGGCCCCGACTCAGAATGGGTCCGTCCTAAAGAAAAATAAAAATTGAAAATTGTTGATTTTTCTCTGGCTGGCCCGTTGCGTCATATGTTCAAAGATCTTTGCGTTTCAATTTTTATATACCATTTGGTGAATTAACACATCTTCAACCGATAAATCCATTTTTAGCACACACTCACTTTTCGCTTTTTGCGTTTAAAGTTTTTATATCAAATTAATTAACCAATTTCCAACCGAAAAATCCACTTCAACCATGCAATCACTTCTCTCCTTGCATTTTAAATTTCTATAGCAGATTAATTAGCTCATTTTCAACCGAAAAATTCATTTTAACCACGCAATCAATGCCTTTGCAAGTTATAACCCAAATTTTAAAACTAGTCCACAGGTGTATAAATTTTATTTATAGCTACTTTTAGAGCGGCTGTTGTTTGTGTATATTGAAATGTTCATGCAAGTTATAACCCAAATTTAGATCTCCCACCAGTCTATTGAATTTATGAAGACACAATAATACATGAAATTATTAATATGCACGTAATTAGATAATTGAAAAAACTTGAAATACTACATATAAACAACAAAAAGAGCCTAAATTGAGTTATATTTTCAATAAATAATAATGATATAATTATGTATATGAAAGGGAAGAAGAGCCTAAATTGTAATTGATCAGGTGCAGTTGCATATCCTTTTTTGTATTTAGTCCATTTCATCTAATTCCACTTTATTTATTTAATTAATTTTGAATATTTTTTTTCTTATTAAAAATAATAATTGATCGTGATGTGATAGGAAAACACTAAAATAGCGACTGGTATTTATGAATATGTGAGCAGGTGAATAATTAAATTTATCGAGATTTTTAAAATAGCTTGAGATTGTGCGTAAATGCAAAATTTGTAAGCAATCTTTAAACATTTACCTACAAAATATATGTAAGGGTGAATACCTCCAAAATAATTGTAAGTAAATTTTACTTATAGGAAATTTGTAGGCAATCTCTTTGCATATACTAACAAAACATATATGTTGGTATATAGCTACAAATTGCCTACAAATATTTGTTTAGTGGGTGATTGTTTATCATCTGAACTAAAAAAAAAAAATCAATTAAAATTCAAATTTAACTCAACTTTAACACAACTTTACTATCTCCAATATTATCAATATAATTAAATAATATCAACCAATCATTAAACAAATCATTCTTACATATCACTTCAACTTTAATTCAGTATTTATCCACTCACATAATTTTAACTAACCATCACTCCCAATCATTTTTTCCTACTTTTACATCATATAAACTTTAACTATTTTATTTTAAATATTATTTTAATATATCTACTAACAACTAACCACACAATTTTTTTTTTTTTAAAAAAAAAAACCAATTAAAATCTAGTTG